CGGAGGGTTCCCTTAACACTCTAGGCACTGGGTCAGATAGTTTATAGCTACACTGTAGAGAAAGCCTCAAGACCAAGTTCATTAAAAAATAATAACATTCCAGGCATAGTGGCACACCCCTGTAATCTCAGCACTTAGAAGACTGAGGCAAGGCCAGCCAGATAATTCAGCAGGCTAAGAGCCTGTAGGACCAGGGTTACATCCCCACCCCCTACTCCTCCCCATGTGTTGGGCAGGATGGTGCATGCCTGTGATTCCAGTGCTAGGAGGGCTGAAAACAGGAGGATCACTACAAGTCTGAACTATACAGTGAGACCCTGTACCAAACACATTAAAAAACAAAACAAACAAACAAAAAAACCTGATCCTAAATTTTTCAACCTCGGGACTAACTTGCCAATAAACTAAAAGAAGATGATGACTGAGGCAGGATTGCTGCAAGTTTGAATTCAGCCTGAGCTACATAGTGAGACCCTATTTCAAAAACAAACAAAAAACTCAAATAACACTGGCTAGGGATGTAACAGTCACTGAGCATTTGCCTACATGAATAAGGTGTAAATTTAATCCCCTGCACTATGTAAACAAACACAGTAACAATAGCAATAAACAATGTAATGTCTTCAGCACCCAATAAATAAAATACAAATCTGCCCACATGGTGAAGGAGTACAAGAGCAATGGCATAGCCTATTTTCTTCAAACAAAAAGTACTAAAAGGGTCAGCAAGATAGCTCAGTGGTCTAAAGCAGCTGCTTAGGCAAGCACAGGGACCATGGTTCGATTCCCAGAACCACATGCCGCACCAGCCCCGCCCTCAGGGTGGGCTGATCCTGCCACAAAAAATAAATAAATAAATACTAAAATTTTATACTGTTTCCTAATACATCATCCAAAAGGAAATCCCTTCCCAATAAATTTATAGAACATTTAGTTCATTTAGAGATATTCAGCTCTGTTACAAATCCTGATCAGGAGCAGTTATAATTGAAGCATTTAGGATTTTTTTTTTTTTTTTGGCCAGTTTAGGCTGCCTTAAGTGGGGCTGTGGTGCGGGTTGTGGAGCTGGGGACTGAACTGCTGTCCTGTGCACCTCACTGCCTTTCCTCAAGTAGCGCTTTAAACAACTGAGCTAATTGGCAAGCCCTCAGTTGAGGCATTTAAGATCTGACAAACTTACAAAATGACAAATGTAATATTCCCTAATCTTTTTTTTTTTTTTTGTCAGAACCGGGTATTGAACTCAGGCCCTTGCACTTGCCAGGTAAGCACTTATTCTAGTGAGCTATCTCCCCGGCCCCCAATCTTAAATTAGCTGTGATTTTAGAGAAAGTGGTGAGAACTATACTTACGTCCACTGAGAAAGGAATCCCTGGTAGGTTATCCAACCTCTTTCATTTGTACAGACTGTGTTATTCACATCTGGTCCCCAAGGTATGTAAGGGAAAACTTTAAATAAATCTTTAAGTTCATCAGGTGACAAAGCACAGTCTCTGTCC